GGAGGTGGGGCTGGGCAGCGCTCCCAAGCTGCCCTTGGGCTCTGCAGTCTCCCTCCTACCATTCTCCCTGCCCCCGTGGCATGCAGCAGGCTGCTCCTCCCCCCTCCCCCGGGGCTGGGCGGCCCCCCGGCTGGACGCCTCTCCTCGTAATACCCACACGTACTTCTTCCCCAAGTGCCGGGCCACGTCTGCTTTTTTGAATCCGTCCAGGTTGTAGAGCCGCTTGGCCAGGCGCTTGGCTGCCTCCAGGTCGGCCTTGTGCCCGTTGGACAGCGTGTCCGTGCTGCCCAGGGCCAGCTGCTCCGTGCTGTCCAGCTCCGAGTCCGAGTCCGAGATCAGCTGGCTCAGAGGGTGGTCGCTGCAACACACACAGGCCGGGGGTATGTCTCGTCTCCCAGGCGCCCGGGGCCGCTGCCTCGCTCTCCGCCCCCCGGGACTGGCTGGACCAGGTCGGCCTTGTGCCCGTTGGACAGCGTGTCCGTGCTGCCCAGGGCCAGCTGCTCCGTGCTGTCCAGCTCCGAGTCCGAGTCCGAGATCAGCTGGCTCAGAGGGTGGTCGCTGCAACACACACAGGCCGGGGGTATGTCTCGTCTCCCAGGCGCCCGGGGCCGCTGCCTCGCTCTCCGCCCCCCGGGACTGGCTGGACGTACGGGGCTCGGGGTGCTCCCTGCTGAGGCTTGTTCTGCGCCCAACCTAGAGTTTGGGAGCAGCCCTGTGACCCCAGCGATTCATCACCCTGGACGTACGGGGCTCGGGGTGCTCCCTGCTGAGGCTTGTTCTGCGCCCAACCTAGAGTTTGGGAGCAGCCCTGTGACCCCAGCGATCCATCACCCCTGCCCCCCCCACCTCCAGGCTGTCTCCTTCCTGCAGCGGGGAATGGACAGAACTGGGGACTTGTCTCCAGCTAGGCAGGGCCACAGCCCCCTTTGAGAGAAGCCAGCCAGGTCATGGCACGGGGCCCCTCCTCCACTGCCCCCTCCCCTCTCTCCCAGTGGCCCATTTCCCCCTCCCAGCCCCTGGGCAAT